TGCTGAGGCTCCTTTTGGGGCTAAGCATGGAACAGAGGGCAACACTGGGTCTTCTCCAGAAAGGAGTTGTTTTTTAACAGGGTTTCTAAGAAAAACCACCCCTATGATGCTGGCATCCCCTTTCCTGCTTCCCTTCTGCTCCACACGTATCCCTGAACTCATTGATCAGGAGCAGCTAAATTAAACACAGACAGAAAGAGAATTAAGTCCCTGTACTTTTTGTGACAAATAAGGGACCAAAGAAGAGCTTTGTCAGCTCAGACACTTCATTCAAGGAGCAGATAAACAAGAATTTATATAGGCAAAAAGGTGTCTCCATGGCAGAGACCTTAAACAGGCCCTGAGCAAGGATAGAACCTCCAAGAGGATTTACAGTCAGCTACAAGGAGCTACGAGGAACCCGATGTCTCTTTGCATTGGCACTTGTGACACAACCTGTCTCCTATGAGGTTACCATCCAGCATCCCACCAGAGCCTGGAGCCACTTATGGAGAAATAACCCGTTTTCCCTGCAAACGAGACATGGTGGTATGGGGTGAATGGAGGAGCAGTGTTGGACCCCAGGGTGAAGGGCTCAGCAGGACAGGGAGCAGGGCAGGACCCAGCCCTGTCCCCAGGCTGTGAGAGGGCTGCAAGGCTGTGGTCCAGGGTGTTTCAAACGCCTGAAAATCATCCCTTGGGCTGTGTCCTAGTTATTAATAGGAGCTTATTCTTGAAGGTCTCAATGGGGATTGGAGCCCTGCTATGCTAAACCCTATACTAACACACATTAACAGCCCCCAGACAGGGCTTGCTTCTCAAGTTGTGATTTAAAGTCCACACAGAGATGGCAAGTTGGAAGCAATCCCGCACCAGAAATGTGCTGTAGACCTTAAAATATGCATTGCCATCTCTCTCTTATTTTGTTATGGGTTTATGTAGCTTTTCCTAGAGCGAGTTCTGGCCGAGGCAGGGCGATGCCAAGGCACCCGTTGAACACACTTGGCAGCTGATAAAGTAATCTCTCTGCCCAAGAAATGCAGTTTCATGATGAAGACAAAGTGTCCAGCCTGGCTGGGCAATCCTGCAGAGGCTGCCCACTCCTGGAACAGCCGAATGCTGCTGATTGCAGACAGAGGGTCTTTCACACTGATTGCATTATAATTTAATCCATCCTTCAGCAATTTTAGTGCTCAATATTGTTGTTATTTTACACCTCAGCAGAAGTTCATGAGGAACAAAATGAGGTTGCAATACTCTAGGGGGAAGCTGGCAAGAGTCACAAATCCATCTTTGTGGAATCAGATTTAAGCTTAGGTCCAAATAATTAGTTCTTACCTAGGCCTTAAGCTAAGTAGAAGGTGAGTTCATCTGCAGAGGCTGCAGAATAACTTTCTGGGAAGCTGTGTTAGGCTCACAGGTTTTTTGCACACTCATGTGTATAGCAGAGGCTCAGCTCATGGTCAGGAGCTGGAGCATGGGGCGATGGTGTGGGCAGGATGACACAGTGCGCCTGCCTGCACTGCCAGGAGGAGCTTTTGCACGGGCACCAGGAGACTCCAGGCTCTACATTGAAACTTATCTGGATAAAAATGGGGTTTTCCCACCTTGGTGTGGTGCCGCCAGCTTCCTGCTGCTGAAGCACAGGGGATGCTTGCTGCAGAAAGTGCAGCGGGATGGGAGGAGGGAAGATGCACACACGGGGAGCTGGTTTAGACCCAGCCAGTAACTCAGTGCCACAGAACCGCTCACTCACCTTGAGCTGCTAACTATTAACTTTAGTTAATAACTAAAATGATATATTATCACTACAGTGATAATAGAAAGAATACTAACAATAACAATAGGAAGAAGCAAGAGAAGAAATGAAAGCTCAGGAAACACAACTGGTGCACAACACAACTGATCACCACCTGTCAACCGACACCCAGCCCAACCTGAGCAGCAATAGGCTCCTCCCAGCCAGCTCCCCCCGGTTTTTATACTGGGCATGCCAAGCTGTGGTACGGAATACCCCTTTGGCTAGTTTGGGTCTTGTCTCTGCTCCCTCCTGCCTTCTTGTGCCCCTCCTCACTGGCAAAGCATGAGACTGAAAAGTCCTTGATCAGAATAAGCATTACATAGCAACAACTAAAAACATCAGTGTGTTATCAATCAGTATTGTTCTCAGATAAAGCTGAAACAACAGGACTGCAGCAGCTACTAGGAAGAAAAATGTCTGTTATAGCTGAAACCAGGACAGGAGGCCCAACTGCATTCCCAGCAACAGATCCCCGACTTTGGAAACCCAGTGATGAATTAACAATGTCTTAAACACCTCTAAGCAGAGCCTCTTGTTGGTGCAAACAGCATGAAAGAATTGAGAGATAGTGAGTGAAGTGATCCCTGTTCTCCCATGGGTTGCTCCCTGCTCTCCCCTGGCACCTGGATAATATCTTTGTGGAAGAGTCCGCAATGCAGAGCTGCTATAGACCAGTGAAATGCTGGGCTTTAACTGGGCTTTAGCTTATTGCCATAGCATCCCCCTTCCACACATAACCAAAGCAGAAGTAGGGCTGAAGGATCCTCCATGCATCAGCCTTAGTAACAGGTATGTGCTCAGAAAAGATCAATTTTCATCATTGCTCTCCTCTGTGACAACAGCGACTGAAGCTCTGCAGGGCAGGAGAACATAGTGAAATGGTGCCAGGGAAGGAAAAGATGAAGGAAAACACCCCATGAAGGCACCCAAAGGAGAGGAAATCAGCCCGAAGAACACAAAGATAGCTACATAAATTTCTCAAGCTCACAAGGCAGGATAAAGCTCAACCCTCCCCTAGGCAAAGAGTAAAAGGATAAAACCAGTCCCATTACACTGAGCCACTTAAAGCCTTTTGAAAGATACCGGCGGTTCCTATCAATCCGGTGGCTGCTGTACGGGTAGGAATTCCCCCCCTGCATCTACTGAACTTTATTCCAGGAGCATGTGCTGCGGGATTTCAGCTTATGGGGCTTTTTCCCACATTTTCCCCTCTGCCCAGGAGTCCTGCTGTTTTGTGGGTAGTTCCTGCACAAAGGGAAGAGCTGAAGCTGTGCAGAGCTCCTGCTGTCCTGCACACACCTCAGAGATTGCCCTGTGTTGGCCAAACTTTAAGACCAGCCCTTTGGTCTTGAGCATCGAGCCCCGCATCACCGTGCTGGAGACATGGGCTGAATCTGTCTCTCCCCACTCCAAATCCCAAGGAAGACTCCAGCTCCCCTGTAGCCAAAAAATCAAGAGACCCCAGAAGTTCCTGTTTGCTTCCCACCGTTCCTCACTTCCAGGAGGGACATAAACCACCAGCACCCACCACCCTGCTCCCTCCACAAGCCTCCTCTTGGAGGCATTCTGAAAGGCTGGAAGATAAATCCTTCAAGCCACACACAAGCTTTCATTCCCCCTTTGCCCGCAGGGAGCTCAAAACCACCCTGCTCACCATGCAGTGTCAGGGAGGAGCCACAGAGACCTGGCAAACTTGGCTCAGGCATCATCTCAAGCAGAGCAGGATGGGGAGCTGGGGGCAGAGGCTCTGGAGCTGGCATGCAAACCCCTGGGAAAGGGGCCTCTGCTGAGGGCTGAGCACACTCAGTGTATATATGCTACTGCAATATAAGTAGTTGTTAAATACAGTTTTCTTTCACATGACGTTACTGACTCAGTAAGGTCTGATAAATTAATGCCAGTCTGCGGCTATGAGTTCAAGCAGTTGCAAGTGAATTTGGGGTTTGGACATGCACCACCAACTGCTATTGTTCCCAATGCAGCAGCTAGGTGGGAAACAGAAATAAAGCGAGACGCGAGCAAGTGCTGTGGAGCCAGCACCACCCTGTGGCGCCTGAGCCGTCCCTAATTCCTCCCTCCCGGGTTTCTGTGCTCCAGAAAATGTGCTTTGTGGCAGCTCAGGGCATTGCTCCTCTGGTGCCTGTTCACCCCCAGCAATGACGGACAGGCCCTTTGAGCCCGCTACCACTAAACACCGTCTCTTTGGTGCTGTGTATTTCATGGGGCTGCTCTGGTTTGAGATGTTACACCTTCCCCTTCACCACTCTCTCTCAGGCACCAAACCCCCTCTCAGGCATGACAGCGGACTGACCTCCCCTTGGATAGCATTACTCACAACTCAGCTCACATGGCTTTTCTCCACAGGCTGTGTTTTCTCCATTGCTGGGGCATATTTGACAGCTTTTCTGTCCTCTCTGAGCCCAAATCCCGTTCAGGTGAGGAAAAGAAACCAGCTGAATGAGATCTTCATACTGCTGGTGTCAGTGTCTGCAGGAGATGCTCCATCCCTGGCACTGTTCAAGGCCAGGCTGGACAGAGTCTTGGGTGACATGGTCTAGTGCCTGGTGTCCCTGTTCTGCATGGCAGGGGGCTGGAACTGGGTGATCTTAAGGGCTTTTCCAACCCTAAGTGTTCTATGATTCTATGACCCTCAGGCCCAGGAGGGCAGTTCCACTCCATGCAGCTTCTCCTAGCCTCAGACAAACACTGAAATGATGAATTTCCGTATTCAGCCCTGGGAACATGGCCAGGGCATCCAAATCCAGCAGGACCAGTAGGTGCCATGGTGTGCTGGGGCACCAGGGGGACGGGTACCATGCAGGAGGGACAGCAGCTCTCACCTCACTGTGCCACTCGCCCCAAAGCTCTGTTTTCTGCCACGTAATGGTGCAACACTTCCTCTTCCCGTGGTGAATTTTGCAGCTTGCAACAAGCGCTGGCGAGGCCACGGAGCTCAGGAGCATCCCCTTCACCCGGCCCTGCTCAGCAGTGCTTCCTCCAGGAAGGTGAGGGGCCCTGGGGACACTTGGCTGGGGTCTCTTTCCTGGCTGCAGGGCTTGGGGAGCTCCTGGCGATGTCCTTTGGGGAAGAGGCAGCGGCAGTGGCTTGTGGTTGATGGCACTGGGCCGGGGGACCCCAAGGTGAGGGCATTTGTGGGCGCGGGGCAGGGGGAAGGAGGTGTTTCAGCGGTCATGGGGGTGTGGGTCCCATCCGTGGCTGCACACGGGCACAGACGGGGGCATGGGCTGCTCAGCCCTGCCTGGCAGATCTCTGCCCTCCCAAAGGATGGTGACTGCAAAGAGCTTCATGAAATATTCACTGTGCTGCCTGAGTCCCCTGGCTCAGGGCTTAATGGAGCTGCTGGCACCGGCCATGCAGCCTCCAGCAGAGAGGGCACTGGGGGCCTTCAAGGTTCCCCCAGGCATGCGGGTGAGGAGATGACATTTCATAGCTGCTTCCTGCTCGGGAGCGCCCGTGTCTGTGTTTCTGGTGCAGTGTTGATAACTTGTCTGTGCTTCTCTTCAAGAAGAGCTGGTGGTTCGGTTGTGTTTTGGAAGGGCAGGCTTGCAGCACGACCTGCTGTGGTGACCCAGGATCATCCAACCGCTCCTCACCATCTCCTGCTTCTGCTCCTTGCTTGAGCACCCGGAGCAGCAGCTTTGCTGTCAGGTGTGTGTCCTGTGGCTCCTGTTTGAGTGCAGTTGGTTGGACACCACGGCAAGCAGGTACCTCTGTGCTGCAGGACCCACAGAACCCAGGCGAGTGGAGGGAGCAGAGGGCAAAGGCAGGAGTGGGTTTCTCTCCTTCAGCTTCCCCAGTGGAGAGGGGACACCCTTCCTGCTTCTTCATCCCTCCCCAGAATGGAGGCTGTTCTCACATCCCTTCTCCTCAAGCTTTCCTTAGCCCACAGCAGGCAGGTCCTGAGAGGCTGAGTACTTTGTGTACTCCCCGAGGACAAGAACACCTTTTTCAGTCTGACTTTAGGTTTACTTAAGTGTTTTTAGACGGAGAACAGAAATGTCCCATAATTACAGTATTTAAGACAGGTTCATGCATACAGTCGGCACTTCCTGCTCCTGCCTCCTGGCAATGGTTCAGTGCCCTTGAAGCTGCAAATCCCCAGGCTGAGGAGGGGGTGATTTGCCACCAGCACAGTCACAGTGGGGAGGCCAAGAGGCTTCTGTGTGCAGAGGCTGCCCGCTGGTGCTGGTGTGCATGGGAGAAGGTGGCAGGGCTTTACAGCAGAGGAGCTGCTCCATGGGCAGAGGGCTGCTGCTCTGGAGGGGTTTGGCTGGTCATAGTGGTGATGATGCTTTGCTGCTTGTCCAGGGGTCAATCTGCAGACCCTAAAAGTGTCACAGGTGAAGAGCAGCTCCTTGTACAGCATGTGCCGCCAGCCAGCCCTGCTCAAACTAGGTAACTATGGCAGTGCCAGAAGCAGAGCACAGCAATAAAGCTGTTTGTTTGAAAAGGAAATGAGAACCAGACTAATTCAGGTCTCCTGCAGTACTGGTGAGCAGCCAATGGATGTCCCGGGAGGCTGGGCAGGGAGGATGGGTGGGAAGGGGTCCAGTGATGCTGCTGCCACTGGTCCCTGTGACATCTCACTGCAGATGGTGTGAGGATGCTGTGCCAGAGGCACATGCAGGTGGTGCTGGCCCTGTGCTTGCTGCTGGTCCTGTGGCAATGCTTCCAAGCCCCCAGGGGTGGCATCAGACCCGTCCCTCAGGCTCCTTCCCACCTTGACGCCCCTGCTGCCTACTGCACCACCAGCACCAACAGCTCCACATGGTTCAATGCCCGCTACAACATGACCATGGAGCCTCTGCTGACAGGCACAGCCCACGAGCTCTCCTCCGACGTGCTTCAGTGGTGGCTGGTAAGTAGGGGCACAGGTGGGAGATTGGGGCTCTTCCTGGGTTTGCCTGTGATGGGCAGGACCAAGATTAAAGGCAGGGACAAAGCGGGTGCAAGGATTCACTATGCCCCCATGCCATCTCAGAGCTGTCCTGCACCCTTTTCCTAACATCCCATTGGGTCTTTCTGTGCCTTTCCCAGGGCTCTGCTGGGAGGAGCAGGGCTCCCCCCACTTTCAGGGCACTGGCCAGGGGTGTTGCTGCTTGTCTCTGCCTTTTCCCCCCATAGACACTGCAGGGTCCCTCGAGGGGTGTTCAGCTCCAGGCCATACTTTGGCAGCTCTTCACTGTGCTCCCGGCTCCAACCGGCAGCATGTGGGACCCAAACCACTGCAGGACTTGTGCAGTGGTAGGGAACTCTGGATGGCTGAAGGGCTCCGGCCATGGGCTGCGGATTGATGCGCACGACTGGGTGCTGAGGTGGGTGACCTGAAGGGTTTGGGCTCTCCCTGTCTTCCCAGGACCCTGGCATGCCCCAGCCTCCAGCCATCCTGCATCACCCACATCCCCTATTTGCTGCTGGCCAGGGTGACTTGGTGTCCTTGCCTGGTGGGACTGGCAGCCTGGGACCAGTGGCATGCACCTTTGCTTTAGGATGTGCCTTCCTGTTGTCCTCCAGGATGAACAGGGCAAAGACTGCTGGCTTTGAGCTGGATGTTGGCCTGAGAACAACCCATCACTTCATGTACCCAGAGAGTGCAGTGGACCTTGAGCCTGGCGTCCACCTTGTCCTCGTCCCCTTCAAGCCACTGGACCTGCAGTGGGTGGTCAGCGCCTTCTCCACTGGAGAGCTCACACAGTGCGTTTGCCCTGGGGGACAGCACGTACTGTGCTGGAGCCTCTGGGGATGGTGTGGGGTGGTCCTGGAGACCCTGGTGCTTCAGTGGGGCACCATGGTCCTGGTGATACCAAAAGGCCCCTGAGTGAGAATCCTTGCATCCCTCTGTACTGCAGTTTGTGGGCATGGGTGGGATGGTGGCTGTCCCCGCAGGAGGACTGCCTCCAAAACAGGCCCCAGCAGCAGGAGTGCCCCTGCTCACTGCTGTCCTCTGGCTCTTGCAGCACATACATGAGAGTGAAACGGTTCATCAAAGCGGACAGAAACAAGGTAAGGGCTCCAGCTCCTATGGGGCACTCAGAGCTGCCTGGGCAGAGCCCAGGCTTGGTTTTCAGCTGGATGTGGGCAGAGCCAGTGAGCAGGAGCTGCACTGGTGGCAGGGGCTGGCTGTCCTGTCACAGCATGGTGAGCACCTGATGGCTCCTCCACTCCCCACTCAGGTGCTGATCCTGAGCCCAGCTTTCCTCAAATACATCCATGACAACTGGATGCAGCACCATGGGCGATACCCCTCCACCGGCTTTACAGCCCTGCTCTTTGCGCTGCATGCCTGCCAGCAGGTGAGTGAGTGCACCTGTGGGGCCGGGTGCTGCTGCAGGGCCACCATTGCCTGGGTGTGCGTGCTCCAGACCAGTGCCCTGCAGCAATGGCTCTTGCTGCCATGTGCAGGTCTCCGTGTTTGGCTTCGGAGCAGACACCAAAGGGAACTGGCACCACTACTGGGAGAAAAACCGCGGGTCCGGAGCCTTCCGCAGGACAAGGGTCCACGATGCTGACATCGAATTCAGCCTTATCAAGAGACTGGCAGCTGAAGGCAGGATTATATTCCACAGATGATGCATTTCCAAGAGGCTGAAGCCAGGCTGTTAGTGCAGGAACTGGCAGCTCCCCCCGGCTCTATAGCTTGCTTGTGCTGGTCCCACCAGCTGGACAGTGTGGGTGCCACGCTCCCATGTCATGAGATGTTGCACACAGCTGGACACGTGGTGGACACGGCTCTGCCCATTCTGGTTAGAAAAGGAGAGACATGAAGCTGGAAGTGCAGGTGGAGCCTATGAGCTGCTGTGCACACCCCTGCAGTGGCTACAAAGCCAGTGGGTGACAGCAGTGGTGGTGGCTGTCTGCATGATGAAGCTTCTGGCGGGCGTTCGTAGTTCTTTAGGCAGTCTTTTTATAACTAAGGAAAAAACTCTGAAGCTCTGTCGAAGAATAAGAAAGGAAGAGAAGTCAAGCAAGCTGTCTGAAGACAGCAGAATCAAGTGCAGTTTAACTGATCTTTGAATAAACTTTGAAAACACAGGTGAATCTATTATTATTTGCTCTATTACTGAACTATTACTGCTTTGGGAAAACAGCACAGTCTGCCTCAGCTTCATCTGCAGAACAAGACTGCAGACCCTGAAGACAGCTCCCCAATGGAGGTTTTCTTCTCCAGAGCAGGGTTAGCAGGATGTATTTTCCCTTCATTCAATCACAAACATGAACATCCTTGACTCAAACAGCTTTTCCACAGCTATGAGTCACTTGGTCTTTCAGTCTATTAAAATCACCACATTTTAATAGAATCTCACCTACTCATAAGCTCTTTAATACCAGAAGCCTGTATTACTTATTAGCTTCAATGATTTTTTAATCTCCATTTCTGTGTCTTCTGTTCCTCTTCTCTGTCATACCCAGTTTCCCACACTGAGTCCAAGTCTTGCACTTAACCTACTCCTCACCTTCCCTGTTTTCTCTCAGTCCTAAGCCATGCTCTGTGCTATGTGCTCAGTGTTTTCCTGAGCTTTACAAGTAGTTTTCTTATGAAAGGCAAATGATAGGTGGTAACTGTTTAACTGTGGGTTAAACTCTTACTGCATTATTTCCATTCATCTTCCTCATCCTGATTAAAAGGTTTAGGTACCAAGCTGTGTGCTCTGCTGTGGGACTGAAGCTGTTCAGGTCACTTTTTGTTCCTCATGTGCCTTTCCTCACACTGTAATAATATAATCCTGACCCCATGGATTTATTAAACATCCTTGTTTCAAATGTAGAACAAAAACTACTTTCAAATTAATTACAGAATAGCTTTTACCTTGCATTATCTGATCCTGGGCCCACCACAGTGTGCACTGTGGCACCAACCGCTTGGATCAGGTTAATACCAAAGCTGGGATTTAAGAGCAATGATTCTGGTTTGCTTCAAAGTGAGGCAGGAATCCACAATATTTCATTTCTCCACATTACTTTCAAATTTATCCCACTATAACCAAGCACTTTACTCACTTGTGTAAGTCATTAAGAAGACAAAAACCCCAACCTCCATGATAGCTACAACTTTGCCACAACACAAACGTGTTTTTAAATGAGAATTTCAAATAGTACCAGCATTAGTTCAAATCAATTACTCTTCCAAATGCTTTACCAAAACACACAGAGAATGGGCTTTATTTCAAAATATGAACAGAGGGGAAGTGAAAAACACAATCAGAGTTAAAATCAGATAAATCAATTAAAACCCCAGCTGGTTTTTTGCTGAAACATCAACTTGCCTCTTTCCTAAGAGCAACCTGGAGCAACTGCAATGCCCCACAGTACAGTAAGGACATTCCAAGTGCTATGTCTCACCATGTTGCCCCAGGACATCTAGAAAGAATACAGCACGTTGGCACAGAGGGCTGGCATACAGCATCAGCACTCAAGTCACATTTCTAAGAAAGCTTAAAAGCTAGATGGTGTTGCTAGAAAGCTTATTTGGTGGCAACTTGAATCCATTCCAGGTCTCATGACAATACAGTACATTATTCCCGGAGGCAAACAGAATGCAGTATCTCCAGCATCTCTTTCAGGAAGGGGGGTGGAACTGGATGAACATGGACTGACACAAAATTGGTTTTACAGTAGGGTCTGCACAGCCAGACAAGGCGGCTAATCTTTATAGCAGCAAGGTTCAAGCAGTTCCGTCTACCTATTAATGCCAAAGAATGATGGGACAGGAACATAAGTGTGGTCAGGGCCACCTGGAAATTCAAAGCCTCTTCTCCTGTGCACTCAGATCACTCGTGTTTCAAAAAATCTGTTTAGTTCTCCTTAGAGGTTTTTCTGTGGGGTCATTGCTTATTTAGGTTGTCTTCCCAAGTTCAATTTTCTTCTGGATGGCACGTGCTGAGTGATAGATCAAGGAGTCAATGAGTCCTGCAACTAAAAGGAAAAAACAAATGGATCAAGCCAGACAACTCTCAAAGAGAGAACTACCACAGAAATCAAACAAAAACCCTTCTGTCAGTGGAAAGGAATTCCAGCTCCTCCAGACAGAAAACTGCTGCTGCTGCTCAGAATAAGGTGCTCATCTCATGAGGACAGACAAGATCCAGATGGCAGGACAGAGGTGATTATGCTTCTCCAAAAACAGATCTCTCTCACAGAGGTAAGGATGAGACAGGCCGAGTCATGTGCTTTATGCAATGTCATTGCCCTGACCCTCCTTGTCAAGGGCATGGTTCCCATTTCTCATTTCACAGTAACCTGAACAGTAAGCTGCTCTACCTGACGCAGCCCTTGATGGATGCCCTTTACCAGAAACCACAGTGTTTACTCACCAAGGACACAAAGCAAAATAAATTGATGCCTTTAGTTCTTTCTGCAGTATTTTCCCCAAATCTCTCCAGCACTGAAGGAGATTAATTCAATGCTTATTTCGGACCACAGAAAAGCTCAGAATGGGTCTCCTGCACCGCAAACTCCAGACTACCCTGCATCCATTGAGGTGGCTTTCACAGAACAGGAACCTGATCTCTTACCTGTAAATATGCCTCCAACGATGGCACAAACTCCCGTGAGAAAGTGTGTAAAGGACCTAGAATAAGGAAAACAATTTGAACAACCAGCAGGAGCTCAGACACTGCCAAATAAGTAACAATTAGCTTATAAAAACTAATTCATAATTATAATGTTCATCATAGCACATAAGTATGCATTATATACATATTACTAGATAACAATTAACAGATTTAACAAATAACCCCATGGCCTACAGAATGGAGTTTATCACCGATACTTTTACTGAGTGGCACTGGGCAGCATTAGACCACTGTACCCTAATGAACTCAACAGTAACACTTGGAGGCAAGTACTGAATTTATAAACCTTTTAATCCCGAATCTTTTATCCATTCCTATCCAGACAGAATGCACAGCAGACTTCTGTAACTCAAACTAAATCCCTAAGCATCTCTTAATACACTTTAAGGTACAGTCATTGGCTGTCTCTTATTCTTCCATTCCCCTGCAACTACATGCCTGCAATTAATGGAGGACCTGAAGAAAAGAAAGGTTTCACACTGACTACAAAACGTAGAAAAGCTATAGCAAACGCATGCTAAGTAACCAGGTTGGAGTTGTTGGTGCTCGTAAAATGGGTATGCTATATAAATCTAGTCTTCACACTGAAAAAAAGACTTTGAGGAAATCAGTTTGATCCAAGAACCACTGTATCAGACTTCTGCTCACTGCTCCAATTTCCTTCTTCATCTAGATACTGGATTAAAACACTTCAGATATTATCAGAAAACCCCCTACCCCTTCCAGCTGCTCACATGGAGAAGAAGGACATTTGAGAGTGCCTCTCCCTCTCCACTGACTGGGAACGGGCTCGGATGGCTTTCAGGCATTTGCACGGTCACGTCTAAGCAAGGATGGAGCTTTAAGCTATGCAAAAAGATGAAATCAATGGAGAATGAATGAAATAGATGTTTACCTGTGTTTTTCCGTCAGCTTCACCATCATGGGTGAAAGTTCATAGAGCACAAATACACCAGGGAGGCCCTGGTCTCCTAGCAGTCCATTGGCTATTTTCTCATGCCGTGTAACTGAAAACTGGTTAGTCCTTACCACCTAGCAGGAAGCAAACACAGCAAACATTGCTTAGTTAACAGGGGACAGGAAAAGCTATTATTAGGCTACTAAACCATGTGATAGGTGAACCATATCAAAGTAGCCCTGCCCACTCATTTGTGGGGCTTTGACAAGTGGTTACAAAGGGTCTTAAACAGAACCATCAGGATCAGGTCTATTACTACAGGCTAGTCATTAAAAGTCGCAGCTAGCCAAAGGACAAGTGATACATTTGTCCCCAGACTGGACTGGCAGGTAATGGCATAAGCTGTCCCTCTTGACCTCAACCCAAGAGCAAATCATCCTATACCAAGACATAGTCCACCTAAGCATGTTTCAAGAGACTGCACTGAGGTGAGAAAGCCGTTATGTATTCAAGAGTAAGGAAATAGTACAGAAAGTCAGGAGAGTGCCAGAGCTGCAGAAGGACACAGTTTCTGTTCTTGGGATCTTCACCTCACCCTGGTATCTCCTCAGTAATGATTTTATCCTACCTGTTCCAAAAGGAGGACATATTCTGAAAGCAGGGCTGGAAAATCTACCCACCCTCTTTTGAAGGTTAAAGGAGTTTTTAAACTGGAGATATGCTGATCTTGGGTTATTCCCCAAAGAACATTTTTAGGATTTCCTTATTGCTTTGACTTCTCTCAAGTATACATTATGGGATTCATAATGGAATATGATGAAAACACATGATCATTTTGAACTAGGTGGGATTGAGAAGGCTGAAATATGCTTCATCAGTGCTATTACAGGTAATATTACACCACAGACACTGTTATTCTTGCAAGGGTGGTGGTATGAAGCAAGTCAAGCAGATTGTGTTGCTTGCCAAAACAATAGGGAAAAAGGTACTTACTTCACCATCTACTTTCATATACACAGTGGGAACCACTTTGACAAAATACTGAAACATCATGGAAGCTATAAGCAAAGACAGAGAGGCACAGTTAATAACCATGCAAGAGCCGGAAAGCTTAACTGACAGCTTATGTAGACACAACCTGGGTTTGTTCAACTTGTCACAGAACATCCTTCTGCACAAGAGCTCCTGGGGGTTTTCAAGGACATTAACGTTACTCGCTGACATGAGTTTTTCTTTTGCCAAAGTGAATCTCATTTGTGTTCCAACCAAAAGCAAACCTACAAGCATTTTGACCTTGACTAAATGGAAAACTTTCTACAAACCAGTTACCTTGCTATTGTTTTACCACTACAACTTCTTGAAAATTTTTATCCTGGCACACAAAAATCTTTATATTTATTGTCATAACATCATCAAGGAATTATTCCTGATTAGGCCTAATTCCTCAAGGATTTGCCAACAGGTTCTCCGAGGCCCAGCCTGGAAAGCTTCAGCCTACAGGGAGAATTCTACCAGCCAGCTACAGGTCCTCTCAGAGAGTTCGTTACTCCACAAAAAACCTGTGGCACCACAACAGTATCAAGGATTATGACACCTTTTCATTTTTCTGTATTGTAAGTACTATCCTTTGATTTAAGAATTAAAATTAATGGTGAAAAACTTAAAGGAATGGATTCAGGGAGGATTAACAATCATACCACTGCTTTAAAGCAAACAACTTCTTTCGCCAATTTGAGTATATACCAGCACCCCAAGTAACTGCAAACACAGACTTGGCAGACTTCAGTGGATCTAAACAAATAACTGATGTCTGCAGTGGTTTATGAAGTGGAAAAGGCACATGAACAGGCTTCTGTGAAAAAAAGAAGGTAACAGTTTGAGCTGCAGCAGCATGAGGAGAGAACTGCCTGTCCTTCTCCAGCCAGCAAACTGGGGCCATCTAGAAAGATCAGCAATATTTCAACCTCACTGCTGCTGTTCAGCCATTACTGCTGGGTAGATGAAGGTCAGGGCAGATACCACAGCTCTCCAGCAGCTACCAAATAGGCCTTTTTTCTCTATGCTGCATCTTCTGGTTATCTCCTACTGTCCACAGCTAGACAGGACTGATGCAGGCATCTAATAATGATGTTCTGTACCTGCTGTTGGGCATCCATGAACACTGAAAAGAGAGATCTTTCAGAAAGCTCACAGAATCAAAACACATTGGCAGATTTGTTTCAGATGAGTGGAGGCAGAAAGAGCACAACGTGGAGTTCACATTTTGTACAATACTGTCAAGGTTCTTGTTAAGGACTGGCAACTTTGCTCCTTATGAATACAACCATTTAAAAGGAGATTTCTCTCAGCTGGCTTTTACCTTGCTGTGCAGTGACGTCTGTCCCATCCAGGGGGTTCACAATGCCTGGATAATCCCTTCCAAAGGAGAGATGTTTGATATAGTGCGTCATATTGATCTGAAATGGAAATGCCAATAACTCAACTGCACAGCATCCAAGGTGCAAGGTAAGGCACCTAAAATCAATTATTTGTGTATTTTTCTGAGCACGGTGTGTCCAGA